AGCATCACCAGCACTAGCAAGGCAGTAGCTTGCGCAGTTATCTCCACAGCGGGCAATGTCACAACCCGACCAACAGCACAAACTACTACCTCAGCCAGGGCCATGGTGTCGGGAGCCACCGGACCACGCGGAGGGCAGCGCGGATGGGGCCGCTCCGCGTCCTTCCTCGGCCGTCGCTGGCCCGCCTCGCCTTCTCCTCTTGGCGTTCCCCGCCGCGCCCGAGACCCCGCCCAGCTGGGCCGCTGCCGTCGCGCGCCCAGCTGCGGAGCCACAGGCGGCTCGGCTACCCGCGCGATCTCCGTGCCATCGACCGCTCGGGAGAAGGGGTGGTGGGGTCCTGCGGAGAAAGCCGCGCCCTCCTCTGCCCCGTGGGGAGCTCGTCCCCTGTGCCGCTAGAAAGCAGGAAATGGGCGGCAAAAGCGCAGCGAGCCGCCGACTAGGTCCAGCAAACCCCGAAAGCGGCGAGCATCGTTCCAGGCTTCGCCCGCCGCCCTCGGGGGTGCCTGCCACGTCCTGCGCCCTCCGCCCCGAGCCCGAGGTGGGGGCTGGGCGGGCCCGCACCCTCCCGCCTCACCCCTGCCATGCCGCTGCCTGCCCGCTCTCCGCACGGACGCGTCCGGCCGAGACGGCCGCGGGCTCCAGCGCCCCGACGAAGCTGAGGGATAGCCCGGAAGTCCCCAAGCCACCCTTTCCCCAGCATCCTTCGGGGAAATCCCGCTCAGCTCTGCAAGAGGCGAAAACAGAACACAGAAACCCCGTCAAACTGAAACCGGGCTGCACGGCGGGCTGGGTGACGACGGCTCGGCACGCGCGGACACACGACCCGTCTCGCGCTCCGCTGCTCCAGTGCGTCCGGACGAACCATAGAGATCACTTAAGGAGGCTGGCGCGCTACTCCCCACCACGTGACCGCCCAGCCAGTCCGCCCCCTGCGCCGCCATCTTACATCCGGGACCGAGGCGGCGTCCTCGTTCCCCGCCTTGGCGGATTTCAACGTGCTACCAGAAATCAGCTCCGAATAGGGGGACCCCGATTCCATGTCACCAGAGTGCTGAGGCCGCGGCAAGGCCCCCCAGTCTGCTCTAGCCGGCAAAGTGGAGCCCGTGTGTTCCCCGTCTCTGCCGGCGAAGAAGATGGCGGCGCCTACCGCCGCCTAAGTGGACACGTTGTACTCTGGCCGGCGTTTAAAGTTTCCGGCACCTCCTTTCCTATCTGGCAAGGACACAGCCGTAAGCGCTCCACCCCCGCGGCGTGGCCGCTGTGCTACATTCCGCGGAAAACTGGCGGGAAAGCTGCTGCACAGCTCCTTTTAATGCGCAGGCTCCTGAGACTTGTGATGTTTGTTTCTCTTTCCCACTTTTTTAGGCTAAATTTGGCAGAAGGCTGACTGCTATGGAGCCTCATCTGCTGTTAAAAAAAAAAAAAAAAAAACAACTTTTTTTTTTTAACTTCTCGTTTAGAAATTTTTATGCACATTAACAAATTATTTAAAAGAAGTCCCTAGGAGTTGCCAAATAAAACACAGGAGGCCCAGTTAAATTTCAGATGAGTACGTTTTTTAAGCATATGTCTGGACAATTTTCTTAAAAGTTTAGCTGAAATTAAAACTTATCTCGACATCCTGTTTTTTTCCCCTGATATTTCGGGTTGAACCCAGGGGCGCTTTACCACTGAGGGCCTTGCTAAATTGCTGAGGCTGGCCTCCAAAGTGAGATCTTCCTGTCTCTGCTTCCTAAGTAGCTAGAGTTGTAGGCTTACGCCTACAGCTAGGCGTTCACTTTTTTATTTACTGTATTAGTCATGAAGCTCCTGGAAATTCAGGCTAGCAAAATCATGGAATGGAGAGAAATAAAGTGTGTGTTCAGATACACTTTAGGACTTTGTCCATATTTTGATTCTTTCACAGCATCTGGAGGATTCAGATTCACAGCAAAATTGGGCAAAAATGCATACAAAACAAATGTAATTCTTTAAAATAAACCTCAATTTTGGAGAAGAGTGAGGCCAAGAATCTCACTGCAAATTAAATACCGCCTGCCTCCCCCTTTTGTTCTATATGCTTTATGTGATGGGACCAAAACCATTTTCAGATTAAAAAGCTTCCAGCCAGATGGGCTTCATATTTATATGTGCATACTCAGAAAATAAAATATATATGGATATGTCCAGTGTTAGATCCCAATGTTATGCTAATTTTAAAGCAACTGCTGAAGGACTTTGCCTGGACTATTTCCAATTAATATTTATGTATTTGTTTAGGTGTCCATGTATGTATATATACACTTTGAATTAAATGCTTTACTTGACAAAGCATAAATGCAACTATATATCACAATGATCCTTTCTAGAAAGTGTAGAAAATTCACACCACCCTGCTTGATAAGCAATGATACAGCTGCTGTGACCCCACTCTTATTGCTAATTCATTATATAGTGGATCACATCTTGCACCATAGCAAATTCATTTGTCATAATGGCATAGCATTTTAAGTGGCCATTTTAAACAGTTGTTTGGTCTAAGGTATACAGGTTTGCTAGAGCAATAAAGTCTCCAACCAAATTTAATCAAGCTATTACCCTATCATATTCCTTTCCACAATTAACCTGTTTTTTTACAGTGCTGACATCAGTATAATCATCCACAGTGTGCTATCATCATCAACTCTATTTTTCTCCACCTGTAATATGTGGGAGTCTAAGCATTCTTTGCATGTGACCATCTTCAGCTAATCTTTATCATCACCTCAGCAGGAAAATTGGAAGGCCTTAGATTTCTCTCCTCCGTATTTCCTATACTCTATCCTGCGTATAACTTAAAGAGTTTTTCTTCCTTAGTTTTAGTATTTATTCTTAAAAATACCAAACCTTGCCACACAGTATTCTGCTTAGCTTTCAAGGAATTTCATGACTAAGCCTCAATCTCTCACAGCCAACTTGTTTTACAAACCAAAGTGCATTAACAGTTTCCTCTTATTTCAGATGTGCCTTCTCACTTTTACTTGCGAAAATACCCTCCAGTATCCTTTAGACCTACTGGAAAGCCACTGAGCTTCTAAGGTTCATTTTAAGTTCTGTCTCCACCACTGATTCTTTCATTCTTCTATTTTTTTCTTTTTGATACTGGGAACTAAACCCAGAGGCCCTTCACCTTTAAGCTACACCCCTAGCCCTCTTTTCTTTCCTTTTTTTTTTTTTTTTGGTGGGGGGACAAGTTCTTGCTAAGTTGCTTAGGGCTCAAGTTACTGAAGTTGGCCTTGAACTAGAGATCCTCCTGCCTCAGCCTCCTGAAGTCTTTTCCATGCCCATCTCTTTCATTTCTTTATTGATATTTCTGTTGAACACTAATAGCAATAGTAACCTGAACCACAGATGACTAGGCTAAGTTTCCTTATTTTATGATCCCATATTAATCTAAGCTTGTCTTTCTTTGTACTTTGGACATTTGTTAAAGGTCATTTAACATTTGTTAAATTTGATCGTTTCCAAATTTAGCAGTTGCATCCCTCATGTTTATAGTGTGACCTCCATAAGGGAAGAGACAATAACTCAATACTTAACACAAAATCAGAGCTAAAATGTTGTTAATGACAAATCTATTCTTGATATACCCTTGCATTTATTATTATTTTTGGCATGTGGTTCCCCCAACTAGCTATGAGCAGCACGTAAGATCCCCTAATGACTTTGTCACATATCAACAAGGAACACGGTAGATTCTTAATAGTTGGTGGTTGTCCAGTAAAAGGAATAATTAGTTCCTATTATGGCATGAGAAGTTATGGGTTTTTTGCATATTTCTTGAATTATGTGTGCCAAATGTTTCTTACTACTTAAAACTTACCATGTGCCAGGCCCAGTGCTTTAACTCTTTATATTCCAATAAACAATAGTTAATATCACTATTAACTCTGTTTCATAAATGAGAAAACCAAAACAAGTTAATTAAATTGCTCAGGTCATATATCTGGTAAATAAAAGAGCTGTGATTTGAAGTTAACCAGTCTGGCTCCAGACTTGGTTTATAAAAGTCCCCATCACCACCCTTTTTCTCAGTACATCCTGAATTGACTGAATTAGCCTGGAACTTGTGATCCTCCTGCCTTAGCCACCTAAGAAACTGGGATTACAGATGTGCAACACCTGAATTACTATTGTCTTTAAACAGTCAAATAATGTGGGGTGTCAATAATGTCTAGAATTAATGGGGATGAGAAAGCAAACAAAAGATAGTAAAGAAAAATGAATCAGTGATCAAATCTGAAGGTACATTATCAAAGAAATTATGATTTTATATTATAATGAGAAAATGAGTTCTGCTGGCACATAAATAAGAACCTAGAATCATGCTAGTAACTGTAAAAGAAATTCAGGATCTATATATACAATTACCATTATGACAATATAGCTTTTTGAAAAATATATCCTCGACTACAAAGAACATTTCAGTTTGAAGCCCAAAGATTTTCATGATTATAATATGTAGCTGATACACATCAACAATGTAAAAATTATCATGAAAAAGTACAACAGTGGCAATACTTTTAACAACTGTGTTGGGAACTGAAACAGAATCTCACAAAATTAGATAAATGTTTCGTCTGACATAAACACCATATGGTAACTGCCTTAAGAGATGGGGGTTGTATGCTAGGTGTTAAAATTGTGACAGAGGTAGTAAAAGTGGGAAAGCAAACAAAATTTGCACAGTTGGGGCTACAGCTTAATATTTTATTTATTTAGATAAAAAGAATAAGCCTGAAATATTGTAGCTTTGGAATTTTTCTCCATCTAGTAAAGCTTCATACAAAAAAGTACTTGTTATATTGCAGTTGTTTTCCAAATAAAGGCATGGCTTAGGAGATCTTTCTTGGCTGCTCTATTAATTGACTTTTAGCCTAAAATATAATTTAAGGTAACATCATTTGCAGCAACTAAAAATGTTCTCAAAACTCAATACTTTCCTTTTTCTTACTTGATGGACTAGAATCAATCCCATAGCATAATTGGGAATGTTTTAATTGACCTCTGCATAAACATAAGCAACAAGCATATGGATAGTATAGAAAGATTCAGAGATAAGAACTAGGTGTCCTAGGTGTTCCACAAAATTACTACTTTGCAACAGATAAACAAATGGATGAAATATAGGGACAATAGGCTGCCTCAAATCCTTCCTCAAAGTAGACAGTGCAAATATTATCAATCAATAAGTAATATTTGGACAACATAAATCTAAAACAGTTCAAAGCACCTATCTTTAAAAAACAAAACAACCTTCTTCCAAAAGAAAAAAGCAACAAAATACAGGCACACAAAAAACCCTCAAGTCAACAGATTTTAAATATTCCTCCTTGAGAAAAGTGGCATCATCTCTCTATATTCACATCACAGCAAAGACATGATCGTTTCCAAATTTAGCAGTTACATCCCTCATGTTATAGAATCCCTGTGGATTCAGAAAGACAGTAGAAGCTATAGTCACCAATTACTTTATCTTGTTCTTCTATTTTGAAATGGCAGGGGAACTTCATTTTTTGCAAAATGAATAACAAGTTAAAGTTCTTCTATTTAACACTAAGCAATTAACACTAAGCATAGTGGGCAAAGTGGAAGGACTTACAAAATCTTATTAGGTAGTGAACTGTGGTTTTATCATTAATAGTTCTGCTACTTATGATCAAGTGAGAGGTGAATTAAAGGAAGAACAGAATGAGAAGAGGCAGAGAATTAAAAAATGAAAAGAGAAAAGCCAGAAGAAAGTAAGAGGAAAAGGTAAACACATTAAAAAAAAAAAAAAAGAAAGAAAAAAGAAAAAAAGAAAAGATGCCTATGGTGGGCTGGGGAGGAGGGGGATGACAAAAATGTTAGAATATAGTGGTACATTTATCAAATGACCTGAATAATTACCCTAAGAATATTATTATGAAATCAATTTCAAACTCAAATTATGCATTTCTTCTTTAAAAAGTAGCAACTTATAATATCTGCTTTAGAAATAAGAAACAGAGCCAGACACAATGGTACATGCCTGTAATCCCAAGCAACTCCACAGGCTGAGGCAGGAGGATCACAAGTCCAAGGCTTGTATCAAGAACTTAGTGAGACTCTGTCTCAAAATAATAAAAGAAAAGGTCTGGGAATGTTGCTCAGTGGTAGAGCACTTGCCTAGCAGGTACAATCCCTGAGTTTAATAGCCAGTACTGTTAAAAGAAAAAGAAAGAGAATCTTGAGAAGTTAATATACTGCTAAAAGTCAAAGAATAGGCAGAACCTCAGCTTCACTGCCTTCAATTAGCCAAAATTACTAAGTGTATTCAGATTCACAAAAGGACTCCTGGCATGTCTTAAAAAAAAAAAAAAAACAAAAACAAAAAACCACTGCTGGTATATTCTGAATTACTAAATTTATAGGAAATTTATTTTATCTAACCCCATCTGAAGTGGTATGCATACAATTCAAGACATAATGATATTAGTTTTCTTTTTCCAATCTATAAAAACTTTTCATTCAAAATGAAAGCATCACTCTACTTTCCAGAAGTACAAAAAACTTTAATCCAAATGGTCATGAAATATTAAAAAACTATTTACCCACTAAATATAAGTTGGTGACACACCATGTGATGTGAATTCTTGTTCTTCTCACAAATGGTGATTTTTTAAAAAAAGCAAAATTCACTAATAATGTAAATAAATATGATCCAGCAACACTAAGCATAGTAAAATATAATACATTACACATATCTGCCAAAATGCCAAATCTACTAAGTGGAAATCTAAGGAACATATTAGACGCTAGCAAGGCTTCCAAAGAGACCACTTCTGTACACATTTTTGGTAGTTTTCTATCAAAAACAAAACAAAAACAAAAATACTATAGACCACAATATTTTGGGTCCAGACTTTGATCCATTCCAGGGTTTCTACATTTCCAGTTAATTTCTGTAGTAATCAAAGGTTGGTTCGTTCCTGAAAGTATTCTGCCTTGGCTAGAAAGATCCCCCTATATAGCAAGCAGTCTTTTTAAGGATTTAGTTACCCATCTAAATTATTCTATATGGAGAATGTATTAGCCATTATACAATAACTACACTGTCCTTCATTGACATCGATGTAATAATAATCACTTCATTAATGCATACTATACTTTTCAGTTGTTTCCTAGTTCTGTTCAATAATTTATGCTACCTCACCCTCAATTTTTAAATTTGGATCTTTTCACCTAGGACTAGTGGTACCAAATTGTGATAATGAACAAAATACTCAAAGTTATATGAGAAAGAACAAATAACAGTTGTTTTTGGCCTGCTACTTAAAGGAAATGTTAATCATCCATGATAAAATATATCACTAACTTGTTCATCTCTTCCTTCTGCTGACATTCTTTAAAGAATGTAGCAAAATTGGAATCAATAACCACAGAGAGGAAAACAGGAGAGAAACAACATAAAAGTTAGCTATTTATATAATAAAATTAAAAATAAAGAATTAAAGTCAGACTTCATAGCATTTTTTCCCCTTATGGCATCAAACAGGCTCCTAGTAAATGTTACTCATGAATATATGCAATAAAATTAATAAAACTTTTAACACTAGTTAAAAAGAAATCCTAAATAAGACACTACAAAACGAACTTTTCTTTCTTGGCAGTGCTAACATTGTTGGAAACTGAAAATCAATCTATTTAAAAACTGTTTGTTTATAAAGAACAAAATAGAAAAGAACCTCATTAATCATCCAATTGTTGCCTATTGTTCATCAAACTACAACATAGGCCTTGTCAGTGACAAAAAGTGATTATGTGAGGCTTTAAATACTTTGTATTTCTAATATGTATCCCAGAGAACATTATTAGCACTATTTCAAGGACTAGTTAACAGGCTCACTTGTGCAACAAAATGAACATAGTTTTGGGAGCTTCCTTTTTGAATCTCTTGGCATCTAGCAATTTTATACAACCTAGTTCTTCTAAAGAACCCAATTCACACTAATAAGGCCAGGTCAATGTGTTAATCTCCCTGGAGTCCGGATATTTTCAAAAAATACAGTCTAGAGGAAAGCTTGCCTCAAGAGCATGAATTGCTATCAGTGACTCCTGGAGAGCTGTAGGAGATATGCTGGGGGAAAAGGTCTGTCAATTATTCTACCCAGGGGGCAGCTCACATGCTTGACACTAAGACTTTCACTGATTATGGTATTAACACATTCATCACATTAATGTGTTCTGAACAGCAGGCCATGGTCCTAGTATTGAAAGTTAAACTATTCAGTTTATATAAATGTATGCTGTATACCCTTGACTCATATTTAACCTTCACTGGAGAACAATCATTCTGAATGCAATTGATCTGTTATTTCTCAAAAATAGACATTTTTACTTCATGTAAGTTCATGGCAATATTTTTAACATGTTACTAAAATGGTATACTACCCTTGTTATTCCACTTCAATACTCTATCAAGATATTCATACTTTTTAAATTCCCAACTTAACCTATTCAAATATAGAAAATTAAGCTTGGGTAATTTTTTTCCCCACAACTTTAAGGAAAATGCTGAAAGTAAAATCTATGAAAAGCCATATTTTACCTTAATATCAGGTGAAATAATAAAATAGAAATTCACTGATTCATATAAATAAACACATTCCCTCAAAAACTAGGCCTTACCATGTTTACAGATAATAGTGCAAATTAAATAATTACACAATTACAAGAGACCCCCAAATTGCATTCCCTTCATTACTCAATTCTAACATCTCCTTGCAGTTTTAGGATTATTCTAGAGGGGCTGAAATTTATAAATTCTATTAAAATAAAAAATCCTTCCAGTACACTAATACCAAGACCATTATTATTTCTTATGAATAATCATTTGTTTTAAACATCTTCATGTTTTCACATAAGTGATTATGAAAATTTAACTCAGAAGAAAAATATTATAATAGCATAATACATTAAATAAAAAATACAGTGAGCTAGGTCAGTTTTTAAAGAAACACGTTAATGTACTCAAGAGCACTTTTCTTCTTCACTAGGATAGGAGAGTGAAACAAAAACTAGCATTTTACTCCAAGACAGTAAGTTTACTATACTTCTAAATGTTTGTCTATTTCCAAAAATACACTTGTCATTGTTTTGAAATACATACACACATTTTTTACATGTGGGTTACTATAGTTATTTTCCTTCTCGTGAAAACATTACAAAATGAAGCACTGAAATGAACAAAATCTCCCAGGCAAAATTTTGGGAAATCTGAAATCTTGTCTGGGTAATAATTCAAAGACAGTGACAAATGTTAGTCACAGGAAAAAAATCAGTAGAAATATAAAATATGAAAAGTCTTTAAAAGACAGCAAATATAAAAACAGACTTAAGTGAAAGTTTGGAGAGAGATTTAAATAAATGAGGTATGATGGAGTCATAGTGCTATAATTATCTCAATGTATTAGGTTAATAACCTATATTTCAAAGTTGCAAAATCAGCAGGTCATAGACTATTTGCTGCTGTGTTCACATGACCTTTCTAGTTGGATGTTAATGGTCACTAACAATACATATAAAATAAACAAGAAGCTAACTGTATGATTTACATGGTAAACTTATTTGCTGCATAAGAAGGCAAATTAAAGAAAAAAGGTGAGCAAATAATTTTGAATTAATAATAGAGCTTCAAGCATTTAACATTATCAATATTTTTAAAATTTAAACAATAAATTCAACTATTTTATACAGAACTGTACCATTTATTATACACACAAGTATATCAGTTCCCTTTGTTTACAAAGGCTGGTTGTAGATAATATGGAATGTTACAGTACAATCTTGCATAAAATTTTAGTACAATTTTGTACCTGAAAAAGGGTGCAAAAACACCAGCCTAATAAATCTGACGGAATTGAAATATCTTTTCTTTTTAAAAAGTACATCATTAACACATACACCACAAACTGTACATAAGCTCACTTTTAAATCACCAACTGAAGATATGGTAGCAGCTATGTTATAGTATTAACTGATCCCTTCCATCAGTTTAATTTATTAAAGGCTTGCACTGCTACTCATTCATGAGCCTTTGTTGATGTGTAAGCTTGTAATATGAATTACTGAATTCAGGTAATTACAATTCAAAGGAGGCAAACAACAGTTGCCAAGAATCATTTGTAGTAAGAAATGTCCTTCTTACAGAAGACTAAGAAGCAAACAATCTTTAGGATATTTTTCTTCCTTCAAATGTATTGTAGCTGGTCAAGATTCTCCATTTTGAACTTTGGATGCTGGTGGTTGCATGAAATCCTTAAAGGGTACCAGTGCCTCTTTAAGTGCAGAGCAGACTTCTGAAGATGAGCAGGTGATGCATTCTACTAAAGTTGGGTATAAGGCAATTACTTGTGCCCAGGTATTTCCATCAACTGTAATGTAAAAAGAATAAAATATCATTCATCATAAAGGTCACTCATTAGTATACATCTTAGAAAATGCTGACCTGTTCATTAAATCTGTTTTCCCAAAAAGAAGCTTTCTCAGGATAGAGGTGCGAAAAAGAAAAGAGGAAGGGTATTGGTAAGGGTGTGGAAAGTCAGACTAGAGCTGTTCTGCTTTTATCTGTTTTTATGTTAGGAATCCATATCACATTTCATTTGTAAAAAGAATTTTGCAGCTTAACAGAAGTCAAAAACAAAAGGCTAAACACCACTGGTCTAGGAAGTTTAAAGAGTCTATTCCAGTCATCTTCTGGGAAACCATCATCATTTAATAAAAACTTATAAACATTGAAACCCACCTAGATAGCCAGATGAAAAGTCAATAGACTCTTGGATTATTATAGGAACACACAAAAAAGCAAGGTGCTAAGCACAGTGAGACCCTGTCTCTTAGTAAAATACAAAATAGGGCTGGGGATGTGGCTCAATGATTGAGTTCTCCTGAGTTCAATCCCCAGTACCAAAAAAAAAAAAAAAAAAAAGAATGGACTGGAAAGGAATGACTATCAGAAAGGAAAACAAGTGAGAAAGCACTGTGAAAATAACTTTAAGTTATTTATACAGCTTCTGTTTATAAAATCAGTAAAAATAGAAGATGAAAGTCCTCTATTCACCTATCACCCCAACGTTAATGATCTTCTACATTAAAAATTTATGAAATATGAATTGTCCATGCAACACCCTGAATTTAAACCAATTTAGATTTTTTTAAAGACCAAAAAAAAAAATCCCATTATTAATTAAATTAACTTAGTTGACAACCTACTGGACTTAATGTTTTGTTGTCATGAGAAGGGGAGAAAATAAAGTCTAGTCCTAAAATCTAACACAAAAGTATATCATAAATAGAACATAAATGCTATGAATTTTAGGATAACTGAGTTTCTAAGCACTTACCATTCTCAGGCTGAGTTTTCTTAAGTGAATCAATGAGAGTACTGACTGCTTTTAAAACAAATATGATTTCCGTTACTTGTTGTCTAAAAGAAATGAGAAATTATTTCCATCAAGATTTTAAAATATACTGTGAATACTGTGTGTTTTCAAGGTCTGTACACACAGATGTACTTCAGAAAAATACTGAACACAATGTAATTAAAAGTTAATGTTAAATTAAAATTATTACAAAAGGAAAAGTCATTTCATATATTATTTAAATAATAAATACATATAAATATGTATATTTCAGTGTGCAAATTTGATTAGTAGCTATTCTTACTATAAATTATCAATTTAAAAGGGGCAAACTACTCATGCAAATCTAAATTTATTTGTAAAATATTTCATGTAAATACTTAAATTTTGGAGGTAGAGATGCTGGGGATTAAACTCAGATACTGGGGACTAAACTCAAAACACATCCCCAGCCCTATTTAGAGACAGGATCTCACTGAGGTGCTTAGCGCCTCACTTTTGCTAAGGCTGGCTTTGAACTTGAGATCTTCCTGCCTCAGCCTCATGAGACACTGGGATTACAGGCGTAGGCCACCATGCCTGGCACTACTTAAAATACTTTATAATGTGATTTTAAAACATCTTTACAAGAGTTTTTCATTGTTGATAACTAATTAGTATAAGAAATTTGCCAAAAATTAAATGGAAATAGAATACACTTATCACTTGGCATATATTTTACCAGGCTGTTAAAAGCACATTCAAAATAGCAATGATATGCTAGGCAGAGTGGCCATATGGGTAATCCTAGTGACTCAGGAGAATGTGGCAGAAGGACCACAAAGTCAAAGCCAGCCTCGGCAACTTAGCAAGGCCCTAAGCAACTTAGTCAGACTCTGTCTCAAAATAAAAAATAAAAAAGGGCTAGGATGTGGCTCAAGTAGTTAAGTGCCCCTGGGTTAAATACTCAGTACCAATAGGAAGGAAGGAAGGGAGAGAGGGAGGGAGGGAGGGAGGTAGATAAATTGCAATGACACTTAATTTTTCTAATAAACAAGAAACATGCTAGAAATTAACCCTAAGGTAGCACTATATGGAGACATTAGCAACAAAAAATGAACTTAGGAGTACAGGACCAACAAGAATAGCTTGATTCACTTCTTTCTCCCGAAAGAAATAAACCTCTTCTGCTTTATAGCCCCCATTGCCCCCACTTATTCCTGACATGAGTTTGTTTTCATTTTATAGATAGGACCTTTCTAATACCAAAACATGGTACTATTTTAAGTCCATTTTGTAGGCATAGAAAGGATTTTATTGTGCCGCAGTGTAGCTTTTTAGAAAATTTAATAATACTGCAACAAACAGAATGACACAATGTAACGCCAGGACATCCATAAATAAGATCAATTTAAAGGTAATAGTCAAATACTCAGAACATAAAAACATAAAAGAAAAGATGATTTCTGAAATCAATATATTATAATCTAATAAATAAAATAGCCCACTCAAAGCAACTTTATTTCTGTATTTCTAAATATACTTCAGAAATCAATTTTGATTACCAATTTTTAATCAGGCCCTTAACTAAATTACTAATACCTGTCTTTACAATGTTCTTTCATTTAAATTTAAATGTGAAGATTTATAATTTATGTTCTAGAAATTTCAAAATATGCTGAGCTATAAAAGAAGATTTATGAATGGCTAATAAGCATTAGTAATTAAATAAAAAGGTAAGCTATTATATGGCTCTTTTTCATTGATCAATTAGAAAAAGATGAAATAAATGATAAACTGGTAAACCATTTTAAAATGCTAAAAACTGAGGAAAGGATATTCATACATACACTTCTGGAAAATGTAAATTTCCAGACATAAATATAAACCTCTGGTAAGCAATTTAGTAATACATATAAAAAGCTTTAAAATGTCTACATCCTTTGACAGATCAATTCTAACTTTTGAAATTTATTATAAGTAAATAAGAATGTACACAAAGATTTAAGGCAAGTGATTTGCCTCTCCTATAGTAATTTATGAGATGGAAGTCACAGTGATTTTCTTGACTCTTTCCTAACTTTGATAACTTTGTCCTCCCACATTATTTTCTGTCTGCTTCATTTGCTTTGATTTAAGCTCTAATTTTTATATTTAAAAAATAGAGTTGCAATCCAACATTTCCTTCCTTTCTAAAATATAGAGTTGCAATCCATTTCCTGCTTCAGCTTCCCAAGCCTCTGTGATTACAGGCATGCACCACCATGCCTGGTGTCTACTCTAATTTATGATTGCATCTTTTGATGAATTCTGGTCTGTATACCAATTTTGATTAGCTTTGGCTTAGCAGAAAGGCCTAGAGCCCCTTCTACTGACAGAACTGGGATAGATGAGAAGGAGATCAGTTTGGGATCATGGGATTATATATATACAGACTAGATAAAAAAAAAATCTAAGATGTAAATAGTTGATATAGAGAGAAACCTAGAAATGACTATAAAACAAACATATTCCCAGAATGTAATTTATCTTCACTTTAGAGAAATAAGATCATGTTCTTATATATTTCTATCTAGAAATCTTTGGTAAACCATTTTTAGAAGACATATTTAGGAATTCAATTTTTTTTTTCAGATTCAAAAAGGTAAATTAGTACATACTTCACATAGTACCTTAACCTCCACAAAGGGTCCGAAAAACCACCCCATAATAAAACACATTAATGTTATCTGCAGAAAAACCTATGAATATTTACACTGTATGGAATAAATAAAACTATGAACATCCTTAGTTCAGATCACTTAAGAAAATACTTGGTTTTCAGAGTTATCTTTTTTATTTTTGTTTTTTGGTATTTTTTATTAATAATCATGACATAAGTACATTTCCTTTAATAAAAAACACACCTTGGAAGAGGGCATTTACCACTTAATCTTTCATCCTCTATATAGCGATGTAGCACATCCTGAGACCTTTTTAAAAGCACTGAGAGTGCCATTCGTGAAATGTAGCCTTCTTGAGGTGTTGTGACTTTATTACTGAAGGAAAACTGGAGCAGTGTTTCAAAACACATTTTAGAAAATTCTTCTCTCAAACGAATATCAATCTCTGCTTCTGCAAAGTTAACAATTTTTGATGGTTAATAAAATGTCAAATTAATATACATCAATAACAACTCTACCAAACTAGAAATGTAAAGAAATTCTCAGTCTCAGAAAAAGTATTTATGAGCAACCTATAACTAATCACACACACACACACGTACATATATATGTGTGTATACATATACATGAATGTATATGTATGTATGTATATATATGTATATATACATATATATATAATGAACAGTTTTCCCCCTTGCAAGATTAAAAATAAGGCAAACCATCTACCCCATGTCACTTCTTCTACTCACCAATTTTCTTATCTAAGTTTTTTTATATCATTCAACAGCACTATAAATACTTCTAAATAAAACAATTTTCTGTGGGCCAAATGCAATAATCACTCTCTCCTCCCCTCTCTTGGCAACATCATTTTTGGAAGATGACTTCTTTTTCCAGTCTGGACTAGTTTTGTCTTCCAATCACGCTATTTAGTGGTGATCTAAAAGTAGTCTTTGGCCAACACCCTGGGAACCAATTTCATCCTTCCTCCTTTTATATCTTACTTCCTAGATCTCACATCGTTGTCTTTGCTTACTTCTTTGTTTTCATGGATGTTTGTGGGGTTGTTCGTTTTTTGGTGGTACTGGGGATTTGAGTCCAGGGGTGCTTTACCACTGAACTACATCATCAGCCCTTTTTATTTTTTATTTTGAGACAGGGTCTTGCTAAATTGCTTAGGGCCTCACTAAGTTGCTAAGGCTGGCTTTGAACTTGCAATCCTCCTGCCTCAGCCTCCTGAACTGCTAGGATTACAAGTGGGTGCCACCGTGCCTGGCTCACGCAGCACAGTAGCTTCCTAAGAAAGATTGAATGGACGAAAAAAATTTTGAGACCTTGTACTTCTGGAAAATGTCATCATTTTACTGTGGTACTCAAAGTGTGGTTCCTAACAACATCAGCATCACAAGAGCATTTGTTAGAAATGTGATTCCTACTCCGGTCATACTGCAGAAGTAAATCTGGAAGTACAGCTTGTCCTCCATTATAATACATGCTAAAATTTGAGAATTAGTGTTCTGTATTAGTACTTATTCAACAGTGTGCCTGGGTAAGAAACTTCATGTTAAAATCCTTTTCATTTACAATTCTAAAACCACTGCTTCAAGGGCTAAGGGTGTAGCTCAACTGAGTGCTTGCCTAGCATGCCTGAGGCCAGGGGACCAACCAATCCCCAGTACTGCCAAAAAATAATATAATAATTAAAAACATCCACTGTTTCATGTTTTTAGCATCCAGTATTGCTACTAAGAATTCTAATGCTATTTTGGAATTTTTTCTTCCTGAGATCTTTAAGGATCTTTTGTTTATCCTAGGTATTTTGATATTTTCGATGGCATGCCTTATTGAAGGTCTTTTGTCTGACTTCATGATTTGGGGTATTAAGTGACCATTTTAAATATGTAGCTCTATTTCTTCAGTTTATTTCTTTGACAATTTCCTGTCCTAGATTTCTTTGTTCTTTCCTTTTGGAAGATCTGCTGTCTGATGTTTGACTGCCTGGATTTGTTTCCTTTCTTTTTGCTTATGTCGTTCATTTTGTTTTTACTTTATGTTATTGATGATTTCCTTAATTTTTTTCTGCCAACATTTACTAAATTTATTTCAGCTACAATATTTTTAGTGTTTGAGTTCTTATTGTTCCTTTTTCATAACATTTTTTGTTTCATGAATATAAAAATCTTATCCCTTCAACGATCCTAATTATTATTGTGTTCATAGTTCTACAACTATGCATTTATCTGTTTCTTCCCAGTTTCTATTTTTTTTCCTGGTGGGGGTGGGGTTGTGTGTGCTAGATCCAGGGGTGCTCGATCACTGTAATGCTACATCCCCTAGTTCTTTTTATTTTTTGAGACAGAGTTCCTAAGTTGCTGTGGCTGGTTATGAACTTGTAATCCTCCTATGTCAGTCATTTGACTTACTGGGACTACAGGCATGTGCTATTCCCCACTTTCACAGTATCTTTTCTTCCCTTTTCATTTATTTTGGTCTTTCTCTTTTCTGTCTGTGAATTGTGGATGTCAGGTCATACTTAAGAATGGAGAACCAATATGAGCACTGAGACTTCTTTATTTATAGGTAGGCCTTGTTTAGCAAGGAATGACTTTGTGTGTATATGTTTTTTAAAAAAGATACAAGTTAAAGCTCAGAAGATATTTGTGTCTTATGGCAAAAATATCTGGAAGGATGTCCATGTAGCTTTCTTATCTTGGTACATTTAGTACTATGAATTATAAAAAAATTATAAAAAAGAATACTTGGTAACTCAGCCCTCAATTAGCTTAGGATATTTATACCTAATTCTTAATGCATTTTATTAAAGATTATACGTGTGTGTGTTTGTGTGTACACACACCTTTTGTGTGTATGGGGCGGGGTACTGGGAATTAAATTCAGTAGCACTCTCTACTGGGCTAAATCCTCATTCTTTTGTTTTTAATTTTGAGACAAGTCTCACTACATTGCCCAGGATGGCCTTGAACTTGCAATCTTCCTGCTTGTCTCCTGAGTAGCTGGTATTACAAGTGTGTTACCACCATGCCTGGATACAGATATATATAGAACTATATTATAATATGATTATAAATATAATATAATTTAAAATATTATAAATGTGTTAATTAATTAATTTGTACCAGGGATTTGAACTTAAGGGTACTCTAACACTGAGTTACATCCCCAGCCCATTTTACTTTTATTTCGAGACAGATTCTCACGAGGTTGCTTAGGGCCTCTCTAAATTGCTGAGTTTAGCCTCAAACTTGCAATCCTCCTATCTCAGCCTCCTGAGTAGCTTGGATTGCAGATGATTACATTATAAATGGACTTTAAATTTTTTTTCTCTGAGAGTCTCATGTTTGTTAAACCTGCAAGTTACCAGGTTAGCTTTTAAAATTGTTAGGGCTAGGAAAAAACAAGTTTGTAAAGTAAGCTGTATGAGAGACATCTAGTGGTCAGACTGCATATATAAATGTTCTTTAAAGTACTCAGCACAAAATACTAGTCACAACTCCAATAAATTCTGCGGATTAAGAATATACACTGCTTAAATTTACAATTTTTAAATAATCATGCTGAAAAAATACATTGGGATGTCACAATTACATTTAAGACTTAAGCAGAGGTTTAGATTTTTTAAAAATACCAAAAACCAACTTATATATCACCTCCCAAATAAGGTACAATGATGGGATAGAAAAAAGTTCTTTTTAGTATGAACTTGGCCTCCAGCCTTAAGATTGTGAGCAATTTTTTCAACCATACTGAATCCCTTTCCCCTTCTATAATATCACAGTACCTATCCTTAAAGAAATATTTTGAAGAATAACAGAATAGTATTTTGTATACAGCAGTCATTCATTAAATGTTCCCTTAATAAATATTTAAGGTATCATGTTTTTCCCTCCCATATGGACTAATTCTGTAATTCATAGTTCTGAGAGGTTAGTATTAATATTTTCATTTTAAAAATTACAGAAGTGAGAGTTAAAAGAAGTTAACCAAAATAATAAGTGGCATCCATGACCTCACAAAACTGGTAACTGTGGTCAGCCTCTATGTCTGTATCAGATTACATAAGTGCTAGGTCATTTAATTAATCATTTTACTAATGTAACTATACCACAGAATATTTATATTTTTCCTCATAAGGTTTAATGTTCTATATTACCTTCCTAAAAATTACCCTACCAGTCTCCAATTTATATTTACTACAGAGAGTAAACATTTTATATGACTTTCTAACACCAAAAAATAAAAAAAAAATCATTAAAATAACATACCTGTAAATGAAGAAGACTGAGAATGTATGGAGCCCTTGTTAAGCATAGTCATTATCTGACCAACAAATTCCTTAGGAATAAAATTGGCATAAGGTAGTATCTCAGTGCTAATAAGCTGAACTACCTAAAAAAAAAGGAAAAATTCAAATGCATTTTTTCTTCTTGAAAGAGACTAACTCATAACTTCTAGAGTAAATTTTAAAATTTATTTTGAAAGGAAATCAGTTAAAGAATCCTCCTAATATTAGTATATAAACATTTTTTAGGTTTACTGTACTTGATAACTAGTCTGTTTCCCTCATCTATCAAAACAGTCAATACTATAACTATTTACTATGTCATCATTTGGATTCATGTTGATCTTCCGCATAACTATAAGGAGAGCTATAGAAAGAAAATAGCCAGCATATGAAACTTACCATATTAGAATAAAATATCCCAAATTAAGATTTAAATCACCTTCTTACAATGAGAAACTATGAGCTATAAGAATTTACTTGTTTTCATTTTGATCAAATAATTTATTTCTAACATACAGCTTATTATTTTGTCCTCTAAAGAAAAAGAAAAGTTCACATAAGTATTAACACAGTAATGTCAAAAAGGCAATATTTTATATATATATGTGATGATGCCTATGCTTTTTAAATGTACATTTTAAAATAACTTTATTTACTTAAAAGTTCCTCTAACTTAAAGAAAAAAGATCCCAAAAGGCCATCAACAAAACATCCATAGCTAAAAAAACTGCTTCTTCAAATTCCATTTATAATCCTCAAAATGTATTATTAAACAAACTATTGCCTTAATAATTCTGCAAGGTGTATGTACAGCTGGTTAAAAATGAAAAAACACTAAGCAAGTCACTGATCTGAAATATAGATACCTGGCATACCAAATTATAGAATAAACATTTAAATACATATACATGTTCACTTATGGATTTATTTTAGTGAATCAACCTGCTTTTTAATAAACTTATTAAATGGATAGACAACATTCACATAGCAAAAGACTATAAGAAATCATAAGGGATTATTTTTAGAATGTCAGTGCTTTAAAAATCAACCTTTAATCTGTAAGAGTTTTAATACTTTTAGGTTCAGTCTTAACCTATTTACCTTATTCTGTTAGCAATTTTATAACTTCAACATTTCTACTATTTGGTTTTCACAAATGATCACAGGAAAACGTTTTAAATAGCTTCCTCACCTCAACATCAATACTTTCATTTCTTTGAAACTCTTGAATAGAGAGATTATCTGGAGGTATGCTAAAAAACATAAACAAAATACCAGGTTTTTAATAGTAAAATAGTCCCTGGAAAAACAAACAGAAAATAGATAAACAGTACTCAAATGATAAAAAATTATATCTTTCCACCCAGGTTGGGACATTGTTATTTATGTCAAAGAATACTATTTCTAATTAACATTGTTAAATATTTTAAAAACTAGGCTAATTACAAATATAAAAACTCTTAACTATAAAAACACTTGGTCCAATTATTACCCTGTGTGCATAGATGATTACATGACCTGTGTAAGTCTACAGAATGTACAACCAGACAAATGAGAAGTTATACTCCATTTATGTATGATGGGTCAAAATGCATTCTACTTTCATGATAACTAATTAGAACAAATAAAAAATATTTAAAATTTTTTTTAAATTACAGAAACACTAAAAAAAAAAACCCACTTTGGTCCAATTCCAAATTAAAAACTGGTAGCACTAAACTTCTTTCAGTACTATGAAAAAGAAAGAAAGGCAAAGATATTGCCTCATCTGCAACTGCAGTAAAAATTATCGTAATGGTATCTGAATTCACTTAAGGCAGTGACTTAAGAGAGCCCGGGTCAAGCTGCTGAATTATTTACTCAGAGACAAATTAAATCATTAGTGTGTAATAAACATAATGTATTAAAGTTCTATACAAAAAAGAGAACAATTGCAAAGAGGAGGGCTAATTCAGATTTTATAAAGCATATAATTATTTCAACAATAACAGAGGAAATAAATAATTCTGAGAGAACCAATGGGGATTTCAGACTCTGGCTCACATGAATGAATAATAAAATGGTCATGAACATAAACAGTGAAATATTAACTATTTAAAACTGCTGAAAGGGGCTGGGGTTGTGGCTCCATGGTAGAGTGCTTGCCTAGCATGTGTGAGGCACTGGGTTCTATCCTCAGCACCACATAAAAATAAATGAATAAAAATAAAGGTATAAAAAATACAATAACAGTTTTAAAAAACTGCTGAGAATAGGATAGTATTATTACAATGATAATGATGGCTAAAATTAGACATTATAATAAGAGCTTTATTTGTATTAATCTCACGTTCCCACAGCAATCCCATGCAGTATTATAATTATCCTTTAATCAAGAGAAAACCGGGGCTTCAAATGGTCAATAACATGTCTAAGAACACAAGGCTACAATTTGAACCTGATTTATCTGATATTTAAGCCTACACTGTTCTCTTTTATGTTGTAATATAACAATAGTGATAGTACACTTGGGTTTAGAGGTATTTACAGTTCTGTACCTAGGACATATGGGAGTGGACCTTGGTTACATGATTTCCACATTTTTCATTCAACAAATATTTGCTGAGCACCAACTACTTTGTATCAGGTATTATATTCTTGGTGTTCAAGATCCAGTTGTGAACAAGACAGACTCAGCCCAGGTGTTATGGAACTTATATTCTAGTGTACAAGTCCTCAACTAACTCTATAATCTAGTAGTAGGAACTAGAGGAAAAAAATTCCAAAGACATGAACCCAAACCTAAACCAATGGCAGGAATTTTATAACCTCTACCAGCAAATCAGCTTCACAAATCCTATCTGTATCTCTAGATAAAATTTGTTTAATTCTAAGTTACAACCAAGGAATGTACATGTCTATAGTCATACTAAAAGATCTGTGATAATGGTGGAGATAATTAATGATGGGTTACCAATAAAAAAAAAAATATAAGCCTTGCACAGAAGAGCATGCCTGTAATTGATCAAACTACTCAGGAGGTTGTGGCAGGAGGATTCCAAATTCCAGGGAAGCCTCAGCAACTTAGTGAGACACTGTTGCAAAATGAAAAGGGGGCTAGGCATGTAGCTCAGTGATTGAGTAGCATGTGTGGAGTTCTGAGTTCAATTCCCAGTACCTCAACCAACACACACACACACACACACACACACACACACACACACACAAACACACCATATATACATACATCTTATCGGGAACACACACAAATAATATTAATGCTATTTGCATCATGTATCAAAAATACCAGACTGGGTTGTCACATAAAATGTAAGAGAGGAGAGGTACAAAGAAAACTAATAACTGAAAATTTTACTCCTCTTAATCACAATACTGTAGACAAAAATTGCCTATATAAGACTTAAATTCTCTGCATTTAAAGAGTACGTTATTTTTAAAAAAAATTTTTTTGTAGGTGTAGATGGACAGAATGTTTTTGTTTATTTTTATGTGATGCTAAGGATAGAACCCTGTGCCTCACACATGCTAGGCAAGTGCTCTGCCACTGAGCTACAGCCTCAGCCCAAGAGTACAGTAATTTTTAACAAATTATTTTCTAGGATTTTATCTAAAAATTAAAAAAACCAAAACCAAAACAAAAAAACCTTCAAACTGATATAGTATTATTTGTACTTTTTATCAGATTCTCTCTGTATGGTATATTAAATTTTTTATTGAGATAGGAGTCACATGTAATCAAATTCATCCTTTTAAAGTATAGAATTTAGTAATTTTCAGCATATTCATAAAATTGTACAACTATCAGCATTTAAAATCCAGAACATTTTTATCACCCTATAGGCAACTGTACTCAGTAGCAGTCACTCCCCATTTTCTCCCTTCTCTGACTCCTGGAAACAAATAATTTACTTTCTATTTCTATGGATTTGCCTATTCTGGATACATCACATAAATGAAACGTACAATATATGACATTTTGGGTCTGGTTTCTTCCCACCTGGCATACTTTGAAAGTTCATCCATGTTAATAGCATGCATCAGTCCTTTTATTTTATTATTTCAGTCCTTTTTATGGCTGAATAGCATTCTGTTATATAAATAAACCACACTAAATTTATCCATTCATCAGCTGACAGATATTTGGGTTGTTCTCGTTTTTTGGCTATTATAAATAATGCTGCAGTGAATACTAGCATACAAATTTTTGTATGAATATGTGTGTTCAACTGTTTTGGATAGTACTTAGTAATTTTTCTTAAGACACATGGTTTTGCTGTGTTGTACAGGCTGGCCCTAACTACTAGGTTCAAGCAATATCCCTGCCTCAGTCACCCAAGTACCTGGAGTTATAGGTATATGCTACTGTGCCCAACTTAGTACTTAGTGATTTTTAATGTACTAAATACAGACCATAAATTGTATGATTTCCTGATAGCCCACTGTGTACACTAGAATAAGTACCATGTTTTGGTATTAAAAGTTTGGCTGAATGAATTTCTAATAGACCTGAAGTGTCTACCAGATTACAGTCCCTATGTTTTTCAATTCTGTTACCCTTTTTCTTATTTAAATTATTTACTTATAACACCCCTTAATGAGGTCCAAAGCCTTTCTTTTCTTCAAGTTGATTTTGATTTTACTTGTATTTTTTTTGTTATTAGATTACTTTGCAAAGCAGCTTACAGATCAAAAAATGGAGGAATATCATGGAAAAAGATGATTATTCGTGGAGGCTTAATATGTATAAATCAGTTAAAGAATTCAAGAATATATCAACATAGAAGACACTAATTTTCTAAAATAATTTTCCTCTTGTAACACCAAGTGGGGCTCAGATTAAAAAAAAAATCAATCTTCTTAGTTTCATTAAGTTAAAAATCATAATTCCTTAATTATGTTGCACTCATATGGTCTTATATGTATGATTCCTGTCTTACAAAACATTGCAAAAAGCAAAAAAATACCACTGACCATGGATAATGTACTTAGTGGATAAATGCAGAACCCAGCCATGTTTTATATATAGTCTAACAATCTACTAATCAATTACTTTGTTAATGAAAAAACAACATGGTTTTAGAGCAACTGCATATATCATGGGCCAATTTCTGAAAAATTGTCTTAATCTTTTAAATAAATGAGCTGACCTTTTAGTAAAAAGAAAGTCTTCAAAAGTGTTGGCTAGTTCTGGCCACATACTGTCAAATTTTCCAGAAGAAGCATGCTGTCGGGCAACAGGTAGCCCAATAGAAAGAACTTTGAGGAGTGAAGATACTGCTAGCTTCCATGTGCTTTCAGAAGGGCAGGAATACTTCAAACTGAGAGGAACTCTAAGAGCCTGAAAATAAAGATAGTCTAAGATAAGTATTAATTAAAACACACACATACAACTTAATAAATTACTTAAGAACAAATACTAAAGCAGAGAGAAAAATAATAGCATAGGTATTTTCACTCAGAGAAGATGTTATTTTTTTAGAAAGGCAGAGTCTCAAACATGGTCCTCAAACCTAATTCCGAAAAAATATATTATTTAATTATTAAAAAAATATTATTTATTTATTTTGGATGCTGGGGATTGTGGTGCTAAATGCACATATTCTTCCACCGAGTCCTACACCCTCAAATTCAAAAGATGTACTTTAAAATCCTGTCTTTATCTTCTAAACAATAACTCTAAAAAAATAAGGTTTCAAATTTCAGGGTTTTAAAAAATATATATATTTTCAGTTGTTGATAGACCTTTATTTTATTTATTTATATGTGGTACTGAGAATAGAATCCAGTGCCTCACACATGCCAGGCAAGTACACTACTGATGAGCCACAGCCCCCGCCCTGAATTTCAGTTTTTCATTATAAAAAAGGGAGATATTATTTAAAAAGTTAAAGAGTAAGAAACTTACAATTTTGCACTTTTTCTCAACTTGACATTATGGATTTAGAAAATCATACCATTTTTGTTCTAAGAGAAAAGTAATTTCATTGATGTGGCTCCCCCATCCAAAAGAGGTTAATACTGCTTATATTTTTCCATTAATGGTTAGAGGAGAGTAAACATAACCTAAAATGTCATTACTTTGAAGTTTTATCTCTAAAATTCTTTGAATTTTATATTCCATTCTAATATTTTTATGCATCTTTCTTTTCCAAATATTTTAATGAAACTGAAAATTCAATTAATATGACTTATCTTTGACTGTCAAAAGTACAGGAGTAGAGCATCTGAGTTATGTATAGTGCCCAAGATGTTAAGACTCTTTTAAAAAATTGGTTAATTTTTCAAAAAAATGGCTTTTGTAAAAATAATTTGGTGATTGAGAATGAACTTTTTGGGTCATAGTTCTTTCAGCAATTAGAAGACTAGACTGACAAAACTGTTATGGCAAACTATCCCAGAGGATCAATCACTAGAAATTTGGTATCACCTTAGATAATCTGCATGAGAGATAAAATTCAGCTTTTACATAAAAAATTCTAAGAGATAAATTTTTATATTTCAAGGATATAATACCTAGTGTCATCCTCTGCCACCCAATTTAATGTATGAATCATTGCCTATTAGTATGAAACAGGCCTCCAAGAACAGATATTAGTCTACTCAGAATCTATTTACTGCTTTCCCATGCATGTACTTCCACAAAACCTATTTCTTTTCTGAGGAGCTATCTCCACTTCCAGGTTGGGAATTCAGGTAAAGACATGCTTAAGTTAATAAGATAATCAAAACATGTCGCTTCCCTGTCCATATGAGCTGGTTTAAGAATGGGTACAGACTGGGCATAGTGGCACACACCTGTAATATCAGCAGCTTGAGAGGCTGAGGTGAGAGGATTTTGAGTTCAAACCCAGCCTCAGCAACTTAATGAGGCCCTAAGGAACTCAGTGAGACCCTATCTCTAAATAAAATGTAAAAAAAGGCTGGGGATGTGGCTCAGTGGTTAAGAGCCTCTGGGTTCAATTCCTGGTACCCCCTCCACCCACAAAATGGGTATGGGACCAAAGCTGATCCATCTTCTAACATTAATTTTAATAATTTAAGAATGTGGTAAAAAACTGTGTGTACATGTATTTGTGTGCTCACACACATAATCCTTTTACTGGATATGTGGAGAAACACAGTTAGGATATACTCAACCCTTAGAAAGCAAAACAGAGAAAGAAATTTGAGTTTTAATGATACTGTTAAACCACTGGATCAATCAGTCCTACAGTCTTCTATCTTTGAATTTTCTAATTAAGCATACTGAAAATTCTCTTTATTGCTAAAGCTAATCAGAGCCTGACTGTATGTGATTTGTAACCAAAGGAATACTAAATGCCACACAGATCATTTTCAGTAAACATTTCATAACTCAAATTGAGATAAAAGAAAATCATGATAGACTTCTGCAATTAATATCTTATTGAATATTAAGCACAGTTGATCTATTCAACTGGAACATCTTATTTCTTAGAATGTTTAAAGAAATAATACAGGAGTAAGTGTACAATAAGTGTACAACGATGTATGCTCAGTAAATGCATACTGAACTGGGAAATTTAGTTTCAGACATCACAGGTATCCAATTTCTAAGGAAAAAAGAGCCTTGTCCAATTAAACACAATATAATGAAGTAAGAAGTGGTATCAACAAAGTGTTTGAGAGTACAGAAAAGGGATCATTTAATTCCTTTAAAAATACAAACTGTGTAACTCCAGCTACTTGGGATACTAAGGCAGATGATTTGAGGCCATCCTGAGCAACTTAGAGAGGCTGCCACAAAATAAAATAATAAGGGCTGGCAATGTAGCTTGTAAAGTACTTGCTAAGCATGCATAAGACTCTCTAGTACTGCAAACAAAAACCAAACCACTGATGATGTAATGGCATTCCTCAGTGTTTGAGCTTTCAATGATTGACTATTTGGCAAGACAAGCATCATTAAATGTTCAACAAATTCTCTTTGCTATAGTTAGGACATGTAAGTAATATTGCAATTATCCTGTCACAGATAAGAAACACTCTCAAATAAATTCATTTGCCCGAACTCAAAAGGCAAGAAGTAAACAGCAGACACTATTTGAAGTAAGGTCTACCTGAATAAAAGTGACCTTTACTCTATAGTCTTCACTTAGCACTCAGCATACTCTATCATTTATTACATAAGAACTTATCTACATTTTTATAATCTCCAGTATTTAGATAGTACCTGGTACATAGAAATGCTTAAAAATATGTTCAAAAAATGAAGAATGGAGAGTTTTGGGAGATATGTGTTGAGGAATAGAAAGAAGTATCACAAAATTAGGGGAAAAAAGAAATTTAAGAAGGTAGAGCCGAAGTATTCCCATTCTATAAAGAAGATAAAGAGTAAGAAAACAACAGATTTGAAAATTTGGTTTTCTACCACTTCAGAAATCAGTTTCTATAGAGTAATATGGACATAAGCCAACATGTAGTAAGAGTAAGTGGTGGCTAGATGAAGGCCACAAGTTGTCATATGGGATTTGGAAATAAAGGAAAGCAAAAAGAGGACGGCAATTTGTGTAGGACGTGTGGAAAGTGGTGACTTGGATCCCGATTTCTGACTACATCACGGCTGTATTTGCGCTGGGAACTTCCTGTGCAAAGACACAGGTCAAGATTGCCCAGTTGCTATGATGACGCCTGAAGTGGCTCTGTGCAAAGGCATGAAGTTGTATCAGTCTGGACCTTGAGCTCAGGCACCAGCTCCCAGAGATAGAGATTTTTTTTTGGGGGGGGGCGCAGGGTACAGGGGATTGAACTCAGGGGCACTTGACCACTGAGTCACATCCCCAGCCCTTCTTTGTATTTTATTTAGAGACAGGGTCTCACTGAATTGCTTAGTACCTCACTGTTGCTGAGGTTGGCTTTGAACTTGTGATCCTCCTGTCTCTGCCTCCCAAGCTGCTGGAATTAAAGGTATGCATCACTGCGTCAGGCAGGATAGAGAATTCTGAGCACAACAAGATAACACTAATATCTCATCAGTGCTGGGTCCTTTAGTCTGTGTGCTTTGCAGAAATTTTCCCACAAATAACCTTTTTTTTTTTTTAGATACCTTTATTTTATAAATTTATTTTTATGTGGTGCTGAGGATTGAACCCAGGGCCTCGAATGTGCTAGGCAAACGCTCTACCACTGAGCCACAATCCCAGCCCACAAATAATTTTTAATGATAAAACTTATTTAATAAACATGCTGAGCTTATCTCTGGGTTACTGTTTGTCCACCAGAGGACAGTGTTCCACCACTGGTCCCACCTTTCTCTCTCTCTGTGTTTTTCTTTTCTCAATCCCCATTGCCTCTAGATTTCTGAATTAATACCTATACTGGTCACAACAAGGAAGTAGAGTTAAGAGAAAGTTTTTTTGTT